AAGCAAGATATGTATCACATCTACGTGGGCCGAGTTTGCGAAAACCAGAAGTAAGGTCATAAGCGGATCCTGACGCGCGTCATGTGAGGTGAGGTGAGGTGAGGTGAGGTGAGGTGAGGTGAGATGAAATTGGGTTTAACGTCGTGCTTGAGAATAGTTCGCTCATATGACGTACGATGCATGACGTGCATGTGTATGTACGTGCGGCTGCTTTCTACTTTAGTTCAGACTTGAAGCTGGTTTTATAGGCAAAGCTAAATCACCGGAGATACCATGCCGCAGTGAAGCATGAATACCCAGGAGAAGACACATTATACTGACTCCGAAGCGACCAGTTCTTGTTGTACACCATTAATGCCGAGCGCCAGGCGGGGACCAACAAGTACCATATTTTACTGATGTCGCGGATCTGAACCCGCGACCTTTCCGCTCTCCGGGCGGACGCTCTAACTACCACTACACCACGAGGCGGTCCGCGCACGTAACTCTCATAAAGCGAATCTTGGCGATTGGGAGATTGTTTGTCAAATTTGTCTGTTTCTATTCCTTCTAGCATTATCACGACCGTTTTATGAAAATGTCAATATTAATATGCGTAAATCTTCCTTCCTCCCAATTGTAAGGAAATGGATGGCCCATTCGTTGAGGATTAGATGAAGTACTTTGCACTGAGTGAGTTTAGTTTTACGCCGCTTTTAGCAATATTCCAGCAATATCGCAGCGTGGGATACCAGAAATAGGCTTCACACATTGTACCGATGTGAGGAATCGAACTCGGGTCCTCGGCGTGACGAGCCAACGCTTTAACCACTGGCTACCCCACCCTTTGAATTCGCTGAGAAGGTGTTTTCGCACGACAGGATCCTTATGCGTCTTTGGTTTCGAATCCCGTTTGTCACCCCTCGGTGTGAAGCGTGAAAATAGCACAATATTACATGATGGTTTCTTAAACAACATTTTCCGCGATCGATCATAAAACGTCAGATTTCAGACCTTGCTTGGCTCACAGGTTTCAGGACCATGTGTCTTATTTATGTTTTGTGCACTTATCCCTATTTCGAGATATTCAATCATTCATCGTTCTCATTTGAACCCAAACGGACTGTAGTTACGAAATTTGATCAGAACAAATATGCTTACAGATTGACGGGTGTCACGATTTAACACATGTCAATAATCTAATGTGTCTTGAGAAAGAAACTGTACTTAGACAATGATGAACAAACACATTAGCGAGCTACTGAGTTCTTCCCACACAAACATCCACACTATTTAGTTTTCTCTCATCTCCATCTTAGTTGTAAAGCTATGTTAGTTAAGGATGCTCGAAATCCCCATGTTTGTCCTGGTTATGTCGATCAACTGATATACGTAGTGCTTTTACGATGTGCTTAAATGTCACATTTCCGCTTGGTAAATCCTGTTTTCTCAGGGAGACATCGACTTCTCCTGTCATACATTTAATGACATCTAAATAACACAATGTACTTAGGGTAGAATAAAACGGCGATCTGTACTTTCATATGGATCATTTAGTCGCCTCTTACAACAATCATGGATCGCTGAAGATCTATTCTAACCCGGAAATTATCACGGATGAGGATGCTTGAAGTAAAACAGACATTGAAGGTGTTGTTGTTTTACGCCTTTCAGCGCCAACTTTATATGGCGGCGGTCTGTTAAGAAGGAGATCCAGTTCAGACATCCATAAGTTGATTGAGAGTTCGGTCCATGACATCCATAAGTTGATGGATCCATAATCAAGTTCAGACATCCATAATTTGTTGATTCAGAGTCAATCAGTTCCAGATCATCCATCCATAAGTTGATTGAGTCCAGTTCAGACATCCATAAGTGGATGGAGATCCAGTTCAGACATCCATAATGGAGATCCAGTTCAGTTCAGACATCCATAAATTGATGGAGATCCAGTTCCGAACATCCATAAGTTGATGGAGATCCAGTTCAGACATCCATAAGTTGATGGAGAGATCCAGTTCAGACATCCATAAGTGGATGGAGATCCAGTTCAGACATCCATAAGTTGATGGGAGATTTCCAGTTCAGACATCCGTATGTTGATGGAGGATCAAGACATCCATAAGTCAGTTGAAGGAGTCCAGTTCGACCTATCCATAAGTTGATGGAGATCCAGTTCAGACATCCATAAGTTGATTGAGTCTCCAGTTCAGACATCACGCATGAACGTCCGATGGAGATTCAGTTCACATCATGATGTTGATTGAGTCTCAGTTCAGACATCCATAAGTGGATGGAGATCAGCTCAGACATCCATATGTTGATGAAGTTCGGTTCAGACATCCATAAGTTGATGGAGATCCGAGTTCAGACATCCATATGTGGATGAGAATCAGTTCAGACATCCATAAGCTGATTGATGGAGATCCAGTTCAGACATCCGTAAGTTGATGGAGAATCCAGTTCCAGACATCCATCAGTTGATGGAGAATCAGTTCAGACATCCATAAGTTGATGGAGATCCAGTTCAGACATCCATATGTTGATTGAGAAGCACCAGTTCAGACTGATCCATCAGACATCCATGTTGATGGAGATCCAGTTCAGACATCCATAAGTTGATGGAGATCAAAGTTCAGACATCCATAAGTTGATGGAGATCCAAGTTCGAACATCCACAAGCTGGAGAGTTCAGACATCCTTAAGATTGATGGAGAATCAGTTCCAGACTTCCATGTTGATGGAGATCCAGTTCAGACAGACATGAGACCTCGATATGTTGATGGAGATCGTTCAGACATCCATATGTTGATAGAGATCAAGTTCAGACATCCATATGTTGATGGAGATCAGTTCAGACATCCATATGTTGATGGAGATCCAGTTCAGACATCCGTATGTTGATGGAGATCCAGTTCATACATCCATAAGTTGATTGAGTCCAGTTCAGACATCCATAAGTTGATGGAGATGGAGAAGTTCAGATTAATCCATAAGTTGATGGAGTCCAGTTCAGACATCCATATGTTGATGGAGATTCAGTTCAGACATCCATAAGTTGATGGAGGTCCAGTTCAGACATCCATTAGTTGATGGAGATCCAGTTCAGACATCCATAAGTTGATGGAGATCCAGTTCGAACATCCATAAGTTGATGGAGATCAGTTCAGACATCCATATGTTTGATCCGGTTCAGACATCCAGATCCAGTTCGAACATTAAGTGGATGGAGATCCAGTTCAGACATCCATATGTGGATGGAGTTCATACATCCATATGTTGATAGAGATCCAGTTCAGATTTCAACTTCCATATATGAGGCAGTGGATATCCAGTTCAGACATCCATATATGTTGATAGAGATCCAGTTCAGACATCCTTATGTTGATGGAGATCAGTTCAGAAACCCATAAGTTGATGGAAATTCCAGTTCAGACATCCGTACGTCGGATGGAGAATCCGATTCAGACATCCATGTTGATGGAGAGATGGAGTTCGATTTCGAGGCATACATGAGGCAGTGGAGACCAAGTTCAGACATCCATATGTTGATGGAGATCAAGTTCAGACATCCATATGTTGATGGAGATCCAGTTCAGACATCCATATGTTGATGGAGATCAGTTCAGACATCCATATGTTGATGGAGATCCAGTTCAGACATCCATATGTTGATGGAGATCCAGTTCAGACATCCATATGTTGATGGAGATCAAGTTCAGACATCCATATGTTGATGGAGATCAGTTCAGACATCCATATGTTGATGGAGATCCAGTTCATACATCCATATGTTGATGGAGGATCCAGTTCGTTGATGACATCCGTTCAGACATCAATTAGTTGATGGGGCTCCAGTTCGAACATCCATTAGTTGATGGAGTTCCTGATAGGACAGACCTGAGGTGATGGCGTCGAGTTCAAACCTCCGAGCAGCAGCTCCGGGTAAGACACAATAATACGCTTGATGCGGATCCGCCATCTGACATAGAGCAGCTGAGTGGGAGTTTCTCGTAAGCGGATCTTCTTGAAGTTGGACATTTTATAGAGATACTCAAAACGCGTAAGCATGAGTACTTCTGTTGTCACATTGAACGTGTTTGGATGATAAACATAAGGTAACAGGACTCTATCACTGATGGAAATTTGATGCAGTAATCTAAACGAATGGATAACTGGGTCATCAGTTTCTATCAAATCAACGTAAGCGATCTTTTATTCTCGCGACATTTCCATATTAACTGAAAAAGTAACAACGGCAACACAATACATATCATCACTAATACACTCTGTTTAGATGAATGTACCACCATGGCGCCTCAGAAAACGACAGTGATTAATAGGCCTTCTCAACATCATAAGAGCAACGATTAGGCGTTGCGGAATTCGGAAATTTCCTTCGGTAAGACTCGTTTTGAGATGTAGAGGTCGGGATTTTATGTCATAGTTTCCTGCTAATAAGCGTGTACCGGGCAGCTGAATAGAGTTCACAACACACAACTCCGCGCAGCGGCGTCCTCGCAAAAATTAATAAGCACACGGAGTCCAAGTGACGGAGTCCAGTTGAATGTTTCCAATGATTTCTTCTAAAATAACTCTTGAGGTATCGATCCCAGGCATGCGACTGTGCCAACTGGAATAGAAAATGCGTTTTTACAAAGCGACACAGGGCCTAGATGATTTCGAAGCTCTCAGCTCCAGTGTTAGTCGTAGCTCGTAAGTTAATATTATTAATGTATGGCACTTATCGACTATCTTAGCGCTGCAGAAGAGAGCTTCATCTCCAGGCTCAGAGCGCTTTACGCACTATCGTAGCTCCAATGCTTTAACATAGAGTTACGACAAGTGCCAGTCGCTTAGTGAAACAGGGCCAAGACGCCTCTAACAGAATCTAAACAATACGAATGACTACAGTATGCGGTGCCGTAATCGCATGGCAAGCTTAAGATCGTGTTAGCGCTAAGATCGCTTTGTGGGAAACGCGATTCTGCTGCAGGCAGCTGCGATTAATTAGGACTTACGTGTATGGTGGTAATAATGATTTCGGCCACTTAGCGTCTGACTTGGAACTCTGAAATGTGAAATATAGTGCAACATAAGGTTCATTACATACACACGAAATTAAATTAATATTAATAAATGTTAAAAAGACTTAGTTTAAAACTTTAATATTACCCTACTGGAATATATTTTAATTCAGGTGATCTGGTTAGTCTCTCGACTTGACCTTTGTATCTCAAGCTCATTAAGGGGGCGGTGGGGTAGCCTTGTGGCTAAATTGTCGGCTCGTCACGCTGAAGGATAAGCGGTTTGATTAATATTTCACATGGGTACAATGTGTGAAGCCCATTTCCTCGGTGTCCCCGTCGCGATATTGCTGGAATATTGCTAAAAGCGGCGTAAAACCAAACTCACTCGTTAAGCTGTTGAAAATGGCATACCAAGGAATCCGAATGAGACGTTTGGTAAACAAAGTAGAAAATTACGTGTATGGAAAATCCACAGTTGGGTGAGTATTTGAGTCGAAATGTTGATCAGCTGATCCTGGCCAACCCAAGCGGGACTCAACCTAAAGTTAGGTTGTCTCGGACAAATTTTACAAAATTTTGACGCGGAACATATACATGCATGGCTGGACGATGACTGACTTGGCTGACACATGTCAGCTTGGTATCCCAAATGCGTAGATCGATGCTCATGCTGTTGATCACATCATTATGGCGCAGACCGCCGCCATATAGCTGGGGATGGCAGCTGAGTGCAGCGTTAAACAAAACCCGCAACCAGCCAGCGTGGGAACAAACGCTTATAACCACTAGACCAACCCCGCCAGCAATTTTAATCTGGTATTGTTCAACCTACCTTTTGTGAAATGCATAACGCGATCACGATAGAGAAATGGTGGACTTGCGCATTTCCATCATTGAAGAGGTAGACAGTGCAGTTCGTGGACTAAGCAAAGCTATTGAAATGCAATGAAACCGGCCTTGCGTGACCTCTTTTGTCTCAGTTTCCATCCCGAGACAAGTCTCGCGTGATCTTGTTCCAGATGTCAAAGCAACGTCGGTGTGAATATTTCCGAAACATTGATATCGTTAGGATATCTTTTGCCAGCGTGATTGGAGTACGGTGTTTCGATTCCGGCATGTGTCTTGAGTTGTAGAAATGCGATAACGTGGTTAAATCTGTCGTTATAGCCTTCGCTGTGTTTCTTGCTTTTGTCTTTGTTAGTCAGTGTGTTACTTGATATATGGGGGCGGTGGGGTAAGCCTTAATAGTTAAAGTGTCCGCTCGGTCCCGCTGAAGTACACACGGGTTCGGATTTTCACATGGGGTACAATGTGTGAAGCCCATTTCTCGTGTCCCTCGCCGGATATTGCTGGAATATTGCTAAAAGCGGCGTTGTACTATAATTTCACTGACTCACTTTGATACGGACGTGAATGTTCGCGCCTTCATACTTCTTCAAAGTGCCAGTCTGCAGTGAATATCAACCTATGAACATAATACTAGTAATTATGAACATTCTAGTTATCAAGGTATCATCCAAACCCTGCAGAAACAAATTCGACACCTCTGACTGTCATCTGTCCATTTTAAATACGCATTTACACCACCTGGAATCATTCTGCGTGGTCTGTGAGGTTTGATGTGGCGTTCATTTCGTATAGTTCGGTACAGTCCGTATGTCTGTATGTCTGTATGACCGTAGCGTCCGGACAAGCTCCGTATGTCTATATTTCTTTGCGCGTTCCCAAGTCTTATTGTCTGTATTGGGTTCATATGTTCCGGTAGCGTCTGTATTGTCTATTGCCCAAAGGTTCAGAGCATCTGTGGCTGCTATACGTCTGCGTCCGCTGTCTGATGTTCCAACGTTACGTCTGGATGTCTGTATGTCTATATGTTCGTATGCCGCCCATTGTCCGCGCTGTCTATGTATGTCTGTGGCTGTCTATATGCCTGTATTCACGCCCATTGCCCTGACATTCTATATAAGTTCGTATAGTTCATATGTCTGTATCGTCTGCATGCCCATTGTCTGGATGTTCCGTATGCCCATGTTCGTATGTCTATATGTCTGTATGTCCGTACGTCTATTGTCTGATGCCTCGCCAGTTCGCACATTGTCCGTCTATATGTCTGTTCATATTCGGATGTTTCGGCGCAATTTTATATGTCTGTGGTTGTTCATATGTCTGATGTTTTCCTGCCCGCCATTGTCTGGATGTCCGTACGTCTATGTCTGTACGTTCATAGTACTTTCTTTGCGGTTCTGTATGGTCTATATGTCTATATGTTCATACACCAGCTTTCGCTCCTGTGGCTGTTCAATGTCATATGTTCAGTCTGTAATGTCTATATGTCTGTATGTTCGTACGTTCATAAAGTTCGCAGTCTGTATTGTCTATATTTCTGTATGTCTATATGTTCGCATTGCGCTTATAGGCGACAATGGATTACAGAAGTCCACCGTCGATACAAGCTGGTTTAAGCACCTGCCGCATAGATGAAGCGACTTTGGCGCAGACGATGCTGCATCAGTATGTGCTGGACCTGCGCTTTATAAAAATAAACGCAGGATATCTGGACTACGCCGGTATGAACTTTGCTGGCGTTGTGTAAATGTACCAAAACCAATGAGGCAGGTTGATGTCAGCGTACTACAAAAGTGGTTTTGCTTTTTCCGTTTGTTTCCGTGCTTTATGCGCAGCTTTGAAAGTGCTTTTCTACGTGTTTTATGCCTTTGTGACTTCTGTGATACCTGTTTAGTATGTTGTTTTGTTTTGCATTTATCGTGTGGTAGCCTTTAGCTTCAACTCTGTGTGTTCGCCAGCGGTATGGCGTTTTGTTACTTTGCGCTCGAATGTGGGGTTTTTCGTCTGTTTAAGTTTGTTTTATTAGCGGTTTGTACCGGGGTGTTGCGTTTGTGCGCAGATGTGAATATGGACGGTTCGGCGAGCTGTGCGTGTGCGTGCGCCTGGTGCGGCGTGCGTGTGTGTGTTTAATGCCTGCATGCCCGGTTGGCAATTATTCAAATTGTACTTTGATAATTTAGTCCAGAATCCTGCCGGAGTTCAGCGGAGATTTCATGCAATTCACCACCGTGGACATTGGTAACTCACCCCGAAGGTACGTATAACGCTCCGTAAGGGTGAGAGCGTCCGTCTGGAAAGCGGAAAGCGTGGGTTCCTGATCCCCTGACCGCGTACCGAAAGATGCGGTACTAAGGTCCCGCCCGAAAACGGGTATTATCGGGTAAGCAGCAAGCACTGGTCGGCTCGGAGTATGCACGGTGCCTGATGGGTACGCTTCAGTTTCGCAGGTCGGTATCTCAGTGTAATGAAGTAATTATAAAACCAGCCTTTAAGTCCGGGCTTAGTATTAAGCATATACACGCATACCGTGTCGTCATATGAGCGAAAATACTCTAAAGCAATTTATCGTTAAACCCAGTTTCACCTCACCCCACCCCGATACAGTATTACCGAAAGTCCGCTTCGGCGCCATCTCCTGGTTTTATTCAATGACAGGCGGAGAAGCGCAACCAAAGGTCGTATGCTGGGTTAATTTTGTCTTCAGCATAATGCAGCAAAGAGGAAGGAACCCCTTTCCAGTTTCAAACAGCAACTCATCATTCTGGGCCGTTCTTATCATCCCATTACTGGAAATCCTTAAAGTGAGCGGACAGACGATCACAAAGGCGCGAAAGATGAAAAGCCAATTGCCCCCGCGCAAACCTTCACTCATCTGAGGTGGTTTCGTTAGATGCATTCTCACCAGACAAATCAAACTTCGAGATGCATCACCCTGATCGACTCCCCACAAATCACTTCCTCGGCAATCGGAGATTCTCACTTCAGGAAGCGAAATTCCGTCAAACGTTATGGCTACCGAGTTAATATTTTCGGTCTCCTGCCTGTTCCGTCCGTCCTTTCCGTAGCCCTGTTCCGTTCCGCCCAACGGTTCACCGTATATTGTTTATTTATCTGTCTCGAACGCTCTGATTGAACTATATGCATACGAGGACGTCGTCCACTCCACAGTTTAATATCTGATCAGTATCACAGTCACCTTTGGTAAGCCAAAGAGTGATTCAAGAATTATATGTGTTTGTCCAGGAAACCCGCAATCATCGTGTCAAGGCATTTTGCAGGTCACCGAGGAAGCAGTTAAACTGTTGGCTGCCAGCTATTAGCGTTTGGCAAAACGCAGCCCCAGATAACGATCTGGTTTGTGTATTTGGCTATTTTAAACATACGCATCTTCCATATGATCATGATTTGATTGTATGTCAGCGATAAAATCACCATGTTGTGACAAAACAGATCTTTAGTTCCGCGAAAATGTAAAATTTTGGTTTTGTTTTGTTCTAAATGGAAATATTTTAAAACACTGTTGTCCGAGGTGTATGTAATTTCTTCGCCAGCGCAGAACTGGTTATTTCGAACGCCTTCCGGCGTTCTACTTCATCTCAAACTCAGTTTGTGGAAAGCCGCTTTGTAAATCCGTTTGCTGCAAAGTTGTGCGTAAAGAATTCCAGTGGATCTGATGCTCGAAAGGATGTCAATCAATTGAAGTTTGAATTTCATCCCGATCCTCGATAACTTCATAGATCGTTATTGCGGGCGATTTGATCCGTTGAATCGGTATGCTAAACAACAAACAAACAAACAACAAAATAATATGAGTGAGTTGAATGCCTTTACGCCGCACTCAGCAATATTCCAGCCATATGGCAGCGGTCTGTAAAATAATCGTGAGTCTGGGATTTAAGAAAATCCAGTGATGGTAAACAGCATGGAGCATCGATCTTATTAAAAAGCAATCGGGAACCGATGATATGTGGGCTCCGTCAAGCTGGGGCAGATGAAAATGATATAGAAATAAACGATCGCCGAAGTCAGCGGCTTTGTTGGTGTTTTGATATCTCCTATGGAAAGCATATTCCAATCCAGAAAGGACATTGGTCCAGCTGAAAGTTCTATTTACCCGCGCTATCCCTTCTTTTAACCATCCTCTGTAAATGTCGAATGTCAATATCGCCTACAGTCACGATATCCGG